CCAAGTCCTGGGCTCTATGCCCTGTGCTACCCAGCTGTATTTGTTTATAAGGTTTATCAAGCTAGTTATACTTATGTGAGTCATACCAAAAGCTGAGTATAATTACTCAGCTATGTCAAAATAAATTGTATTCCAAGAATGACCCAATGGTGTGAAAGTCTATTGGTAGGCATTTTCTTTTGTCACGTGGCTGGCCTTCTATAACACATTCAATAAAGAGCAATTTGGATAGAGTGCCAGTTTCCTTAATTCCATTCTGGCTTTGGTTAGATAACATGTTTGGTTTTCTTTTTAAAAACATTCAAGAGCACTATCTAAGTAAATTTCCTGGGGAATCATTTGGGGTTGTTCTTATATTTCTTTTCTTCGTGAACCCAGTATTTCTTTGTTCTTGCAGTGTCCTCAGATCCCCACTCTTTTCTGTTTTCTCTGATAGTTCCCACAAATAATGAATCCCTGTCCCTTATCCTTATGAACTTCCTTCCTGGTCTGTATTCTGCCCTCTTCCTCCTACTCCAGGGGAATAGATTGCAACAAAATGTTCTTCAAAAGTATTTAAGATTTGAAGTACTCTTCAGTGGAAATGTTCTCTTTGTGTAGAATTGTGCCAAGAGGCTCTTGGCCCATCCCAAACTTTTATTAATCAGCAATGTCTGGGGCAAGAGATTTCATTGTAAAAAGAAATCAGAAAGTTAAACAAAGTCCAGGGCCAAGATTAATTGTGTAAGCTTGTCTTTTGATTTTTGGTTTAAGGAGGACTGGTTTCTTACAATTCTATTGGGAATAGTGGGAGTTTGGGAAATATTACCTATTGCTTCTTTCTGAATTGGTAGAAAATAGGTTTGGGGAATTGATTAAAGGTGATGATTTATGCCTCATGGCTAATAAAAAAAATTCTGGAAGGATACATTTGCTTAATAAACCGTTTAAAAACCTAAATAAATGTAAAGTAGGAAACTTACACTGTGGTCTAATATATTGTGCTGGTAGTATATTTTTAAAAAGCAAAACACACACACACACACACACACACACACACACACATGTTTTTTAGACTTAGAGCCAGAAGATCTGGGCTTCCAGCATCACACCACTTAGCCACTAAATAATAATAATAACAAATAATAGCTTGTATTTGTATGGTTGCAAAATGTTTTATGTGCATTATTAATTTTGATTCGCATGATAGCCCTGTGAAGTAGATCATCAATCTGAAAAGAGGAAATCCTGGGTTCAAAGAAGCTCATAAGGTTGTCCAGTGTCACACAGTTAGTAAATAGAAAGGTGAGAAACCAATTTTGGCCCTTAGGCCCCCAAGTCCAACCCTTTTTTCATTATGCTACTTTGCAAAAAAAGAAAAGGGAAGAAGCTATGAAAAACAGGAGTGGCTTAGAGAAGCTGAACCTAGGAAACAGACTCACTAGTGGGCATAGCTTACTTGTATTGTGATACTCCCCCCAGTTCCATCCCCAGCCAGGGACCCCAACTGTCTTCTCCCATATTGCCTGCATTTTTTTTCACTTCTCTTTATCACAATGCCTGAAATTCTGCCAATTTGAGTTAATAAGGATGCACACTCTTTTTAAAGGGGAAAGCTAGGTAGTGGATAGAGTACTGGGACTGGAGTCAAGAAGACTCATCTTCCTGAAGCTGGAGAAGGAAATGGCAAACCATTCCAGTATATTTGCCAAGAAAATCCCAAATGGGGTCTCAAAGAGTCAGACCTGACTGAACAACAACAAAAACTCTTTTGAAAGTACAAGTATTTTTTTTTCAGCTAGGCAATGGGGTTAAGTGACTTAACCTGAATCCAGGGCCAGTGCTCTCTCCACTGCAGCACCTAGCTGCCCCTGAAAGTACAAACACTTTTGGGAAAGTTATGGGACTGTTGTTTACAAGTATGAATCACCCCTGATTGTTTTAAAAAGAGTGGCTAGGCTAAGAAGCGTCCTGGAATAATACAAATAGCCTAATATAAGAAAACAAGGTTTTCTTTTCTATTTTCTTCTCTATTGGGCTGATGCAGCACCTCCAGGATGTATTCCCTCTTCCTGAGTCTATTCTTGTCTCCTTAAATTAAGGAAGTGAGTTGACCGAGGATGAACTTGCTTCCAGCCAAATGCAGGGTCTTTACTTTAGGGACTAAAATATGCCAGTTATACATTTACATTGGTTTTCCCCAGACCCAACAAAGAAATAGATTTGTTTTGCTTGACTATTTGTTACAAGAGAAGGTTTTTGTCAGGGGGAGGAAGGGCATGGGAGAGGGGAATAGAGGGAGGAATGATAGTAATACAACAAAAAAGAAGAAGAATTGTTCGGTTGTGTCTGACTCTTTGGAACCCCGTTGGGGTTTTCTTGGCAGAGATACTGGAGTGATTTGCCATTTCCTTCTCCAGTTCATTTCTAATAAGTATCTGAGGCTGGGTTTGATCTCATGAAGATGAGTCTTCCTGATTTCAAGCCCAGGGCTCTATCCACTGCACTGAACAGCATGAAACATTAAAAAGAATACACAGAAGACAGCAGAAGAAAATTCAGAAAGGGACAGAGACAAGTAGGACATTGTTGGAATTACTGAGTTAAATCTAATATCTATTCTTTTTTTAATCAAGCTATATGTCATAGAAATTCATGGTAGCATTCTTTTTTTTCTGTTCCTTGTAGGGTATAAGAAAATGTTCATGTTTATCAGGTTCAAAATAATAAAAAAGAAAAATTATTAAGAAGGCAATGTCTTTATATAGGGAGAACATTCATACACATATGAATATAAAAAGGTAGCTCCCCAGTTAACTAGATTTAATTTTTTAAAAAAAGCAATGTTCTTTTATTCAGATTGGTATTAGCAACATCTAACAAATTTATACCATAATTCATTCTAACTTCCTTGGATACTATGTTAATGTACACAAGTCTGTATATGGATCATGACAACTGCAGCCTGATACTAAGGGACCATATAAAACTAAATAGACCCAGGAAGGTCAAGGTCACACCTGACATTTAAAGGCTCACTGCACACAAGCAACAGCATTTGATGAGGATAATTTTACTACAAATCATAAAATGACATGAAGCCTTAATGTACCAAATCACCATAAATTGTCTCATGACCACATCTACATATCTATCTACCTATGAAATGTTTCGTTTCAGGATAGATTTTAGGCTTTAAAGCACACAGCTTAAGATCTGAAGAAATGAAAGGATGTTAGGTTAATGTGCCTCCAATAGAGTTAATGTGAAAAGTCCATAATCTTTTTGAGCCTTTGGGGTTAAAGAAAATCCTAAATGCCAAATGGAAAGGATGTTAAGATCATAAAGGCTGGGGAATAGATAGGAAGTGATAGTCTCTGTTTCTAACTATGTTCAAACAAGACAATCGATGGGATAAACTGGGGATGATCTTAGAGGGAATGCACCAGCATTAATGAGGATTCTGAAAAGCTTCTTGCAGAAGCTGAAATTTTAGCTGGGACCTAAAGGAAGTCAGGAAAACCAGGAGATAGAGATGAGGAGAGAACTCCAGGCCTGGGAGACAGACAGTTCAAATTGTCACTCACTACCTTGGACAGTCTCCAGATTTCAGTTTCTTCATTTAAAAAGTAAGGGAGTTAGATTAGAAAACCTTTAATGTTTCTGTTGTTGGTCAGTCATTTCAGACTCTTTATGACCCCATATGGGTTTTCTTGGCAAAGATACTGTAGTGGTTTGCCATTTCCTTCTCTAGCTCATTTTACAGATGAGGAGATTAAGGCAAACAGGGTTAGGTGACTTGCCCAGGGTCACACAGCTAGTAAGTGTCTGAAGCCAGATTTAAACTCAGAAAGATGAGTCTTCCTGACTCAAGGCCTGGTGCTCTATCCACTGTGCCACCTACAACTCTAAATTTATGACCTTATGATCTTACTGCATGTCATATATTTGGTAGATCTCTAAATGCCGATCAATGATGGACAAACCTACATGGAATTATTTATACTCATTTGTGAAGAACTAGATTACAAGACCAGTTGTCTCTAGAATCTAACTCTCCTCATTTCCAGAAAAGTCTTTCTCAGATTATACACTGTTGTCAGCTCAATACAGTAATCATTTATTAAGTGACTGTTATATGCCAAGCACTGAGCTAGGTATTGGGATACAAAGACAAAAAACAAGCAAGCAAACCCTCGAGATGCTTACTGTGACAAATCTATATGTTCTTCACCACACACACATTATACATAATGTATGTGTGTATGCATATATATGCATATACATACACATATAGAATTATATACATCCATATCCAGTTGTCTTTGGCAGAGCTTAGAAGTAAAAAGCATGTATATAGCAATAGCAATATCGTTCAAAGGACAAACATGAATGACCAAGTTATTCTGAGTATTATAAATATTCAAATCAATTACAAAGGACCTATGAAGGAAGCTGCTATCCACCTCCAGAGAAAGAACTGATAAATAGAAGTATGCATAGTATGGTTTTACATATATTTATATATCTGTGTCAAAGGTGGCCTTCTCTAGAGCAGGCTAGGAAGGGAGGGAGACAGTTCAAAACTTAAAATTTAACAAAAAAATTTTAATTAAAAAAATAAAAGGTATATTTTAACAGACTTTCTGCTTCAACACCTTCTGTACATTCTGGGATAACTAATAATTTGCCAATAATGTAAAACCAGAAATAGAACAAGGTTTCATTCTCTCTCATTGAAGTACCTGAGATTAGGAAAATTTCTAATGCCTCTGAAGAAGGGAGGGGGAGTCACCTATACCACCTTAATTTAAATGTCAACACTGCCAAAGAGTCCTTTTGCAGTCACATTTATCTTCCATAGGGAAATCTTCAGAACTCTTATGAGCACACACATATTTCCCCTCAAATGATAAACAGTAAGTATCATATTCTTTCTTCTCTCTCTGATGGGAGCTGGCTAATTATGCCTTTAGTGTTAACTTCTGTGGGGGGGTGGGAAGCAGAGTGGTGACACTCACTCCTTGGAGAAGATACCATTGGCCAGGATTCCTTCATATCGGCTGATCCCTTTTGACTGAAGCACACTGATCTGGCCCCCGAGTTCATCTGCAATCACTCCTGCGTGCACTGCTGCTTTGCATAATAAGGAGGTCTGAAATACAGAAGAAATAATACCATGATTATAGTAAAACATTCAGGAGATTAAAAATAAGGTACCAACCTGCTCACAAGTAGGATTTCCATTTTTTTTGCTTTATCTTACATTTGGATTCTTACCGTAGATCTATTAGTAGTAAGTGTCTGGAAAGTAGTAAGTAGTAAGATTACTGTGTCTCACTACCTAGAGTTTTACTTTTTAATAAAACGGAACTTTTAGCAACACATCAGACATAGTGCCTGTAGCCAGCCAAACAGAACAGAGAACCAGGTGAAGCTCACAGACACCCTGAATCCCCAAAAGGTCCTGTAGTATAATGGAAAGAACAAGTAACCTGTGGGTTCATGAAACCTGGCTTTGCTACTAACGTAATGTACAGAGTCTCTTAACCTCTCTGGGCCCTAGTTTGCTCATCTATAAATGGAAGAGGTTGGATTAGGCTATCACTAAAGTCCCACTGATATTATATAATATTAAAGGTGATGTATCAATGTAACACAATGTCTAACCATGATTCCAGCGGACTGCTGCGGAAGCATGCCATTCATACCTCTGGACAGAGAGCTGATGGCCTCTGGGTGCAGAATGAGATACATATTTTTTCAACACACCCAATGTGGAAATTTGATTTTGTTTGACTATATTTATTACAAGGGGTGTATTTTTCTTTTCTTTTTTCACCATGAAGGGATGGGTGGGAGGGAATGGAAATTGGTTTTTCTTAATTAAAAAAATAACATTTAACAACAACAGGAAAGAATGAAAGCATAGCATCTTACACTGCAAAGCCTAGTTTATCAGGCTATCCCTTGAAACCAGCCTGACTTCCCAGAAACTTAATCTGAGACTGACCTATACTGAACCCTATACCAGGCTCAGTCCTGAAGAAAGCCTTTTTTCATAGACTTGGAAACATTCTTGGCTCCAGGAATTCTAGCTGAGAGTGTCACTGATCTCAGCAGGTGCTGGACATTAACAAGCATTCAGTTAGCACTTGGGTATGGTACATGTTGAACTCTGCCAATGTATGTAGTTACTCCACGTTCTGGGCAAATAAACTGTACCTCCTTTTTTTTTTTTTTTTTTGCTTAGGCAATGGGGTTAAGTGACTTGCCCAGGGTCACACAGCTAGTGAGTGTTTTGTGTCTGAGGCTGGATTTGAACTCAGGTCGTCCTGAGTCCAGGGCTGGTGCTCTATCCACTGCACCACCTAGCTGCCCCTGTACCTACTTTCAAGAGGTTGCTGAAACATTCAGCAGTTACTAAAGAGAGACCAACCATCTTCCATTTCATGAAAAACATTAGTGTAAAGGACTGTGTTGTAAGAGTTTTGATGGTAACTTGTAACAGGTAAGTTAATGTACTGAGTCATTAGCCCATTTCATAGTCTATCCTTCCAGAAAGCTTCCAGTGCTCTCCAAAAAAAAAAAAACTTTCCATAAAAGAAAAGCTTCTGAAAATGGTGCTTCTTCTGGTTCTCACAGAAGAGAGAGAGCATTTCAACAACAAAAAAATGACATCATTAGAATTTTATTTTTTGGAAAGAGTACATTCCCACACACAACTTCTTCAGCTTCTTTTAGAAGAGCAATAGGTCGTTATGGTCTTTTCTAGGGTTGCTTTATGGCTTTGGAGTACTTTCACTTTTAATGAACTAAGAATACCATGAAACAAGTACACAGACCATGCTCTTGAAGCCACTATCTTATACCAGAAATTAGTGGATTTCCTTAATTCTAATTTAATCACTTCACAGATCAAGCATGCACTTGGTGCTTCTCAGGAGAGCCAGAGAATTTCTTAGTCAATTTCAAGTGGAACCAATGACATTATCTACAATAAACAAGTCTGAAACATACCAGCTACCTACAGAATGCTGCCAAATGTCACAGATTAGTCATAGGACTTACAAGCATGTAAAAAGGAAATAATAATCCATTATCCAATAATCGAAGTATCTCTTTAAAAACAAAGCAAAACAAAATAAAACCAAGAAACCTTCTCAGGAAAAATAAGTTTGTAGTAAAATGTAATGACAAGATTGATACTACTATGAGATTAACTAAGCTAATGTATATAAAATATTCAGTAACCACAAAACACTAGAGAAATGTGGCAAAGTAGACAGGGTGTGGACTTGAAGTCGGGAAGACCTAAATTTGAATCCATCCTAATTAGTTGTGTGACCTTGGAAAAGTCCCAGGGCCCTTTTTGGGCCCTGGTTTCATAGGATCTTTTCTGGTTCTCAGTCTATAAAACTATGATATTATTATTAGAACTTGGAACACTTCAAAAGGTTCTTGATTTAATCACAGTATCTCTCCAGGCTATGTTAAGCCTTCATGTTGAACATTTAAAAAGACCAGATTCCAGGCATATAAAATTGTAAATTGGGATGAGAAATGTTTGCACAGCCCTAAGGCTCTTTTTATGTACACTGTATTCAAAATGTTTTAGAAGAGGAATTCTCTGATATATTTTTTTTTTCTGGGAAGAACGCATAACAAGAGGGTTACTAAGGGACAAAAAAAAATAGGGTAAATGGGTGGGAATTTAAGGTATGAAAAGAAAGGAAATGACTAGTTTTTTGGACAGAATGGTTACTGCTCTATGAAAAATTTTCATGACTGAGTATATTGTGGGCTGTGTGTATGTATGTGTGTGTGTGTGTGTGTGTGCGCGAGTGCATGTGCATAAATACACACACAGAGGTAGGTAGGTGGCATAGGGGATACAGAGCCTGGACATCCAGCCTCAGACACTTACTAGCTGTGTGATGACCTTAGGCAAGTCACTTAACCCAGATTGCCTAGGTTTCCTCATCTATAAAATGAACTGGAAGAGGAAATGGCAAACCATTCCAGTATCCTTGCTAAGAAAATCCCAGATGGGGGCAGCTAGATGGTGCAGTGGATAGAGTACTGCCTCTGGAGTCAGGAGGACCTGAGTTCAAATCCAGCCTCAGACACTTGACACTTACTAGCTGTGTGACCCAGGGCAAGTCACTTAACCCCATTGCCTAGCCAAAATTAAAACAAAATTCCAAATGGAGTCACAAAGAGTTGGACACAACTGAAATAAGTGAACCACAAATATATACACACATAAACATGTGCATGTTTTATATATATATATATATATATATATATATCTCACATATATAATATATGTGTATGTATAATATAAAATCTGGAACATAAACAAATCAAGTAGTGGGTTGAATAATCTATAACCTGTCATTTAAAAGGGAAAATTAATTATCATCTTGCTATTTTGTGTTAAAAAGGTTTCTCTTTGCCATTTTACTACCAGTATTTCTGTTTATAAGTTTTACAAACAGTAAAGATATTAGAAACCTAAAGAGTCTTATTTATACTTGTGATCTCATCTCATTTGTATAGATAAGAGAATTTGCATGTTGGTATAAAGAGGGATCATCTCCAAATATAGGCAATACCCCTATAACTAGATTTCTTTGAAAGAAAAAGACACGGAGGCAAACACTGAACAAAATTACTAATTTTAGGTTACGCTTGGTTTTTTCATAAACCAGATTTAGGGGGAAAAAAGGTATATAATTAGTCAGACATCAAAGGTTTACATCCAGTTTGACTCTCCCTTTGTTGAACTTAAGCAAACAATACCAACCATTCATTTTTTCTTTCTAAGTACCTTCTCATATTGCCTTGATTACTTACATCTCTGTATCCGTCTACCACATTCCCAGAGATATCGCCTGCTACGTCTCTGCAGCCAGCTGGACAGAATTTGCTGTCGTGAAAGGAAATAGAGCTGGTTAAGGTGAGGGGTTGTAAATGTATCTTGTTTTAAGCAAATGATCTAGGACAACATGAATTTACACAAAAGAAAAATTAGGATATGATTTTTTGAAAAAGTATTCTTTGCTTTATCTAAGTATTCATCATTACAAATCCTTTATAAACAGCAAACTCACGTAATGTATTTAAAATATGATTCAATTTTATTAACTATTTGCTTTTACACAACTTTTCAGAACATGGGGGCATTGCAATGCAGCTAAAATAATAGTTGTCAGGGCAGCGGGAGCCTCGGATTCTCGTTCCACTTTTGACAAAAGCTGCTTGACTTCCACTTACTGGGTCTCCGTTTGCTGTCCACCTATAAAATGAAGAGGCTTGACTAGATAAGCTTCAATATCCCTTCCACCTTTAAGATTATATTATTCAGTGATATGAAATGAAGAAATATTGTGTGCCTTATGAAACAGAAATTCTTGAAAAACAAAATATTCTGAGAGTTTTAGGAAGCTGTTTCATTTTTGCTAGTTTTTAAAGTCACAATTGTTTAGTATACAGGATGTTTCCAAAGTGTTTGTGTAGTTTTAAGCTTTAGCAGTTTAAAATTGCATTTTAATGCAAATGCAATTTATGCTTGAACAGCTTAAAACTGCACTGAGACTTTGGGGACAGATAACAACTAGGTATGTTAAAACAACAGGCACAAGTCCAAAGAGATAACCAAAATAGTAGTTCCTCTCCTGGTGTTTCCTTTAGGGCTTTCTCCGTGCTATGTATACAACGATACTAGCTAAAGAAACAAACTTCATAATTCTTCAACATTAACCCAATACTGTCACAGTCCCAACTCAGGAAACAAAGATGCAAGAAACAAACAATCTATGTGAACCTGAGGCTTACATTTATTAATCTTTCACATCTTCTGGCCACTTCTTTATATTCTCATATGGGCCTATGTCTATCTGTGTTTAGGGAAAGTTCCTTTCTAGGAAAGAAGTATATGTAAGAGGTTCCTGGCCACAGCAGATCATATCTGAGAATTAGGTTCGTATCAACAGTTCTCTGGTTTTGACCCCACTTACCTGCCTTCCCTGACCTTCATAACATTCTAATATCATTAGGCACGTTACACTTGTGTTATAGCTTGGATCAATTACCAGAACAGTACAATGGTCCAACCATACCCCTCTCACATGGACCTGTTCCTTCTTTTGAGAAATGTCATTTAAGTAAAATGAACACCTCCTGACCAGAATATTCATTAGCACTAGATTTCTAAAAAAAAAGGCCACATCTAGATTGGGCCAGAAGGGTCACAAGAGTATTTACAAGCTTTGTACTAGTAATAATGTGTGCAGGCCTACACAGGCTGTACTGCAGACTGGGGAATCACAAAAAAAAAATAGAAAGAATAAAGGAGTATTGTAAAGGCTACTTGAAATCTTCTCCAGGTCAACTTCTAGACCAAAGGTTATCATCAGTACCATAACTTTATTCCAGTTAGTGGGTGACTTTTGCTACTGTGATGCTGTTTTGGAAAGACCATTACAACAGCACCTGGAATGATTTCAAGAATAACCAAACACCCACTGGCACATGACTGCGGCATAACCGAGGACACTTGAAAGCACTTATATTTACCTGTATTCAGTCTTCGAAGAACGGTTAGCACGATCCAAGCATGTTATTAAATCTGTCGTAAGAAAAAGAGAGTCTCAATTAGCTGACTGAACTGTGGTTAGGATTCACAGGCCTTTAACATTTTTACAATCTATAAAAAAGGACAAAATTTCTTAAAATTTTTGCATGCAAGCTACTAATCTGAATTTTCTTCATTTAAAACAAATCAAAGGAACCCTTCCTCAAAGAAGTATGCATCCACTTTTCCTTCCTCTCCCTTTGTCCTACCCTTTATTACGACTTTTCAGCTTTGATCCCCTAGGAATATACAGGATCTAGGTTCAATACAAAAACTGACATGCACTACATGTCTACAGTGGTCATGCTCTGTCCACACAGCAGGGAAACAATTTAAGAAGCCAGCTGTGGCTCATGAAGAATATCCTATATTGGGGATAATAATGCTCTAGATTCAATGTGACAGGATGTGGCAGGTATGAGCATTCTGTACAGGACAACAACAGGATGTTAAATATAAGCAACGAACAACAAAGAACTAAAAGACGGGAGTTTCTATGCTTCCTGTTTCTGTGCCTCAGTTTCCTCATCTGTAAAATAAGAGGATAGATCAGAAGTTCTTAACCTGGGGCCAATGAACCTGTTAAAAAATTTTGATACTGTAATTGTGTTTCATAATTAGCTTCCTCTATTAATCCTATGTATTTTATTTTATGCAAGGGGTCCATAAGTTTTACCAAACTGCCAAAGAGATCTATGATACAAAAAAAAAAGGTTAAGAACCCCTAGATGAGATGATCTTTAAGGTACCTTCCAGCTCTATACCAAAAACCTTTTCTATATATTTGTATGCATTACTAGCACTCAGCAAATGAAGGGCCTCAGCATTTTACAGAGCCTAGTCAATGGCAATACTTTCTGTACATGTAGACACAACTTTAATCAATTTTCAGGATACTCCGTTTTCCAGTTCTCTTCCTCTATCAAGTTTGCAAGTGTTTCTTATCTAGGTATCTTGAAATCATTCATCTGGGACCCAACTGCTCCTCTTTCTTTTCTAATGTGAGCACAATAACGAGGAAACGGCTTTCCTTTTTTTTTTCTCATTTGCTAATTAAATACCTTGGATTAAGCTCCCAGTTAAAGTGATATGTGATCAGATGAATGTTTAGGAAGATAGTTATGAGAGTAAAGCTTTGCACCAACTATTTAGTCTGCCATACCTGGATGATCACTACTGGCATAGGACAACAAAAATCCACGCCCAGAAATGTGGGATGCACTCTCAAAGCAAACAATCACTTCATTTGTGTCCAGGTAGAATTCTGTGGGGATATTCATGCTTCCACAATACGGACCTGAAATACAGAGCAAATATTTTTGAAATCTCAAAATTTTCATGAGCATAAATAACGAGAAGGGAGCTAGGTGGTGCAAGAGATAGAATGCCTGGCCTGGAGTCAGGAAGACTCATCTTTCTGAGTTCAAATCTGACTTCAGACATTAAATAGCCATGTAACTCTGGGCAAGTCACTTAACCCTGTTTGCTTCAGTTTCATCATCTGTAAAATGATCTGGAAAAGGAAATTCAAACCATTCCAGTATCTTTGCCAAGAAAACCCCAAGTGGGACCATGAAGAGTTGGACATGACTTAAAAATAACTGAACAACAACAAATAAATAATGAGTAGGAGGTGAATTTTTCTTAAAGGTCAAATATATCTGGAAACACCCTTATTGAAATTCAAATCTTCATCAAAATGAAATCCTCTTTAATAATGAGGCCAATGATTACTAGCTGCCTAATCATTCAAACAAGTATTCATTGAGCCCCTGCCTTGGGAAAGGCTTGAATGCTCCAATGAACTAAGAAAAGAAAAATCACTTCTGGAATATATAAATGGGCTTACTTATTAAATGTTAGACCTATAAGGGTCTTTAGTCTGGTCCAATCCTTCATTTTACAAATGAGGAAACTAAAACCAAAATGAGAGGTGGCTTGGTGGTGTTCCTGGAGTCACTAGTACTAGGACTGGAGTCAGGAAGACTTGAGTTCAAATCTAGTCTTAGCTATGTGACTAGACAAGTCATTTTGCCTTAAACTCCTCAACTGTAAAATAGGGATAATAATAGCACCTGCTTCCCAGGATTGTGGTGAGGATCAAATGAGAAAATATTTGTAAAGCTATCTACCTGGTACATAACAGGTATTTAATTTCCTTCCTTCCTTCCTTCCTGCCTTCCTGCCTTCTTTCCTTCCCTCTAATCCTTCCCTTCCTCCCCAGGTCTCCTGAATCCAGATCTACTGGAGCCTTTCTAAAATACCTTGTTGCTACTCTTACTATATATGAAAAGAATACTGAGATGATTTTTATGGAACAATGAGGCAACAGGCTTGTTTTTGTAAAAAGAAAATTAAAGAATGAGAGAAACTAGAAAGTAAAGGCAAGAAGCCATCATGAACAAAATTTAACTCATCAGAATATGGTTATCTAGGGGCAGCTAGGTGGCACAGTGGATAGAGCCCCTGCCCTGGAGTCAGGAGGACCTGAGTTCAAATCTGGCCTCAGACACATAACACTCACTAGCTGTGTGACCCTGGGCAAGTTACTTAACCCCATTGCCTAGCTAAAAAAAGAATATGGTTATCTGATACAGCATTCTATAGCATCTTCCAGGGATCTCCTGGCTTTCCTTAAATACTGCCTATCAATCAATCAACATTTGTTAAGCACTTCTTATATTTGAAGCCCTGTGTCTGGAGGTACAAGAAAAAAAAAGCTAAATAGTCTCTGCCCTTAAAAGGCTTACTTTACATTAGAAGAGGTAACACACCTGTGTGTGTGTGTGTGTGTGTGTGTGTGTGTGTGATTAGAAGGGGGGAACATGGGAGCTGGAATACTTCTTGCAGCCTGTTACTGCCACCATTACTGAATAACTTCTTCTCCTTTGAGATGAATTTACAACCCAATCTGAAAACTGTTACCTACTTACTCCCAGAACACTCCTGTTCAGTGCCTGACTCACAGTCTTCCTCTCTATCTCAACCACTGTCATATTGATACTCCTACAAACACCCTAACTTCCCAATTCCTCAATCTACTTATTTCCCATGACCTATTCCTCTACTCCCACCAGTTGTGGCAGTGAAAATGAAGTCTAGTTAGTGAGAATGAAGTGCAGGTAACAGCTCCTTTCCTCACCATATATATCCAAAGGAGTGCTTGGGAATATCTTAAAATTTAAATCTCCGTCTTTTTCTTCAGAAACCCTCAAACTGACAGTGAGAAGAAAGAGATGACCCTGGCTGCAAGCACCAACACAGGTTTGGTTTGATTGTTTATCTGTTTTTCTACGTTACTTTATACTGCTAGTAAGTTTCATGGCCATTAACTGCCATTTTGTCTGAGCCCTTGTGTGTACGATTTAAGGCTGAAAGAAGAAACTAAACTATCCCATGAGAGCAGAGTTCCTTGTTTTACTCTAGAATGAGGGCCAAGACAAGTCTACAATTTTGGTAATTGCTGAGATTATTACAAAGTATACCTGCTAGACTGTCTTTGAACTTAGAAAGAGAGAATGAATAAGGAGATAAACCAGTAACAGAGAGGGGTATAGGTGGGGTTTGGTTGGATTATCCCCAACTGCATATGAAAGGCACTGACTCACACACTTCCCAAAAAAACTAAAGAAGTAGTTGAAGCTGGGAGAGTGAATGAAATTGCCAAGTGACAGAGTATAGAGAGAAGACATCCTAGTTTAAGAATGAACTTGTCTGAAAGGGAACAGAAAGCAATGAATTATGTCACCACTATGTCTTTCAATCAATTTCACAGCTAACAAAATGAGAGTTGGAGCTTTAAAATATCCTATCACCAACAATGCTATATTGTCTATATATAAATTAAAGAATGAGAGAAACTAGAAAGTAAAGGCAAGAAGCCATCATGAACAAAATTTAACTCATCAGAATACGGTTATCTAGGGGCAAGCTAGGTGGCACAGTGGATAGAGCCCCTGCCCTGGTGACTTGTCTAGTACTGTCAGCAAGCTGACAACTTCAATTCCATTCAACAAACACTTCCTTAATGTTTATGATGTACAAGGCTCCACATTATGCGGTGTGGAGGTATAAAAAGATGGGATTGCTTTCCTGAAGTTTATAACTTAGTAGGAGGGAATGAAATAAATACACAAATCACCAGAGTGGGTGGTGGTGCTGGTAAATGCCTTTAATAAGAGACTTTCCAGAAAAAGAAAAAAAAAGTATCTGCAACACACTTTTTTAACTTTATCTGCCATTATTAACATTTTCTCCATGACTTTCTTGTAAGTCTAGCCAGAGGTATCAAACACACTGGCAGTTCACAACACTCCTGAGTGCTGGTTGAACCAGATTAAAATGTAATTTGGAAATATTTCACAAAATAAATAAAAATACAATTACACACAGATAAAGTTAATATATGGTTTTTCTAAGTCAATATATGACTGTGGGGATCCTTATGTATGGTGATGATCAAAAATATAATAAATCATACTCATATTTGCAAATGTATAAATGTCCACACTGAAAATTTAGCAATCAACTTTCCCAAGCCAGTATGAGCTGGATCTAGCACATTCCTGCGAATAACTCTTGTGTAAGTCACAGCATAAGCACCACAAAAAAGACGCTTCAAGTATAGATGTTTGGGGGAGGGAGAGGTTGCATTTGAATGAGGGGGAGAAGGATTTGGACTGAATCAGGACAGATTTCAGGGAGGAGGCAACTGGGTCTTGAAGGATCAGTAGGATCAATGTCAAAATTCGAAGAGAAGGAACAAGTAAGTGTAAAGAGCCAGAGATGGGAAAGGTTTGTTCAGGAACAGTCAAAAGACAAATCTGACAAGAGTTGAGGACTTATGTAACCAATAGTAGGAATTATAGCTGGAAAATAAGATCAAGATCTGATTTCCGAGAGTCTTGGATGCTAGACTAACGTGTTTGGACTTTTTAAATTGGCTCTCCCCATTGACAAAACATGCACAGGAAGTAGAATCGCTTTGAGGACATGGGTAACTAAACTGTGAAGTCGAATTAAAACTAAACAAATAAACAACCAGCTGTGAACTCGGACCAGAACGAATCAGAATCATACTTAGACTTCCCCCGTACCTCTTAACTTCACATATTAAGTAGAGTGCACTTAGGGCCAAACTCGCCTACCCAACATCCTCTTTCTGTCCATTCGCTTATACTACGTCTATTAGTGTGGTATCTATGATCGTTGGCAAGCCATTAAACCTTCCTAGACCTCAGTTTCCTCACCTGATGAGAGGGATCTGGACCATATTCCCTCAAGTCTCTTCCCAGCTCTAAATCTAAGGTTCAACGATCCTAAGCATAGCAATGAGAGACCTAGGCCAAGTCATATGAGTGGGTCAGTCACGAGTCTTAAGCAAAAACCAAAACTCAGGGGACCAGGCCTGTCTTTTCTCCTAATTGAGTTCTGCAAAAACACAAGTGAAGGCCCAGCCCATTTTTCTGATGGGGCCCTACCTACTTGATCTTTGATTTAAATGTGGCATCCGTGAATGTAATACTGCTTTAATAAAATGAAGATATTTCTTCCCTCAGTAACCTTTACCAGGCTAAAACAGTTTATTATTATAATTTGGTTTTGATTTTTTCATACTCTGCACCCCCATCCTTGAGCATTTACTGTAAGAATTTATTTTTTGGAAAAAATGCTTCCAAATAGCTTGTCGACTATGTAAATGGCATATATATATACATACACATATGTATATGTGTGTATATGTGTGTGTGTGTGTGTGTGTTTATGTTTACATATAGTGATACCATCGGTATCCTTGGCTTTCTTCAAAACTCAGCTCAAGTCCCACCTTCTGCCACAGACCACCATCTGTTAATGCCCTCTCTACTGATATTATCTTCTATCTATTTTAAATATCTTTTATGAAATTAGTTATTTACATTTTTCCCTTTCAGAAGAATCTAATTGGTACAGTAGATAAAGTACTGGGCCTGGAGTCAGGAAGACCTGAGTTCAAATCCAGCTCGGACATTTACTTGCTGTGTGAACCTAGGCAAGTCACTTAACCTCTGTCTGCCTCAGTTTCCTTAACTGAAAATTGGGATAATAATAATAACATTTACCTCCCAGGGTTGTTGTGAGGATCAAATGAAAAAAAAATTTGTAAAGCCCTCAGCACAGTAGATGGTACATAGTAGGTGCTTAATAAATACTTATTCTTCTTCCCCTCCTCTTCCTTCCTTTCTACTAGAATGTGAGTTCTTGGAGGGCAGGGGCTGTTTTTGCCTGTCTTTGTATTCCTAATGATTAACAACACTG